TTTCTGATGTCATATAGATCTTGGCTAAAAGCATAGAATACAATAAAGATGTTACCTGTGTTTTACTGACTATGCAAAGGCTTTCAACTGTGTGAATCATGACAAGCTATGGACAAAACTGAGGGACATTGGGTTTTCTGTAGCACTTAAACATACTCATGAAGAACCTGTACATAGACCAAGAGGCAGTGGTTCAAACAGAACAAGGCAACACCAAATGGTTTAAAACAAGCAAAGATGTGTGCCAGGATTGTATTGTTTTACTATAATTATTCAATCTGTATGCTGAGCAAATAATCCAGGAAACTGGATTATTCGAAGAAGAACATGGCACCAGCATTGAAGCAACAGTTATTAACAACCTGCAATATACCAATGATACAAACTTGCTTGCTGAAAGCAAAGAGGACTTAAAATACTTGATGATGTAGATCAAAGACTACAGCCCCCGGGATGGATTGCACCTCAATGTAAAGAAACAAAAATCCTCATCACTGGACTAATAAACAATACAAGATAAATTATGCAAAGACTGAAGTTGTCAAAGACTTCATTTTGCTTGAATCCACCATCAACACTCATAGAAGCAGCAGTCAAAAAGCCAAATGGCGTACTGCATTACACAAATCTGCAGCACAAGACCTCTTTAAAGTGTAGAAGAGCAAAGATATCAGTTTAAGTACTAAAGTGCACCTGACTCAAGCCATAGTATTTTCAATAACGTCATATGCATGTGAAAGTTGGGAAATGAATAAGGAAGACCATAGAAGAATTGATACATTTGAGTTATGGTGTTGAAGAAGAATATTTAAAAATGGGCTGTCAGAAGAACAAATAAACCTGTACTGGAGAAAGTACAGCCAGAATACTCCTTAGAAGTCAGAAGCTCCTTAGAAGTCAGGATGGGGACACATTCATTGTCTCTCATATTTTGGACTTATTCTCAGAAGGGATCTGTCCCTTGAGAGACATCATGTTTGGTAAACTCAGAGAAAAAGAGGAAATCCCCCAAACCACCAATAAGATGGACTGGCACAGTGGTAACAGCAATGGGTTCAAGGGTATCCACAATTGTGATGATGGTGCAGTGTTTCATTCTGTTGTTCATAAGTTGTCATGAGTTGGAACAAACTTGACAGCACCTAACATCAACAACAACACTTCCCTGAAGAATTCTGAGCTTTTCAATTTATACTACAACAAAATGATACTTCTGGCATCCTCGAGGAACACAGTTGTATTCCTATTGAATGTTCTTTGACTTTGAGAATAAAAAGAAGTCTAAAAGGGCAAGATCAAGGTTGTAGGGTAGATGCTGTAAGTTTTACCAACAAAATTCTAATAGGACAGCCTTGAAGAATGAGCAAGTACATAATCATGATAGAAAAAACTTTCTTGGCACAACCTTTCTGGCCTTTTTCTCACCAATAGAGTCTTCAATTTTCACAAAACTTCCTAATAAGGCCCTTTGATCATTCTCTAGAGTCTGACTCTCTGAAGACTGCAGCACTGGACTAAAATTCTGTCCAATGCTGCTGATCTCAGGCCCTAGCTACGCAGGATCTCTGCCAAGTTGAAGCCTGGACCAAGGATCCCTCCCAAGACCACTCATAAAAGGGAAAAGCCTGAAATATAAAGATTTGGACTCTAAGAACTGAAGAAATGCTTTACTTATAATTGTTCATTCTGATTTTCTAGATCTGAATAAATGTTACGTGCTACTACTTGCATGCCTTGCCAAAACTACCGGACAATAAATGAGTTTATATATGCAAAATTTTTTAAATATATGTTTAGAATAAAAATACTGCATGGCAACTATATAATTCTATTAATACAAAAATCTAAAACAGACAAAATTAATCTATGATGACAACAATCAGAATAGCTAATGAGAAGGTGGTTATTCACTTAGACTGGAAAAAAGGACTCTAGTGAATACTAGAAACGTTCTATATCCTGGTCTGCATGATGGTTACACAGAATCTACCACATATACCTTAATTTTTAAAACCTTTAACTCAAAATAAATATAGATTTAGGCAGAGAAGATAATGTATCATCAGCAGATCTATGCTAAAGAAATGGAAACCTGAATTTCTCAAAGGTGAATGATCTAAAAAGGAACTTAGTGAATATGAAGAAGTGTGTGAATTTGAAGAGCAACAGAAAATGTAAATCTAAATAAATAGGGAAAATATAATCATAATAGTATTTTGGAAAATATATGTATATAGGCCTCCTGGTGTGGCACCGTAGGGTCAGCACTGGACTGTGAACCACAAAGTCAGCAGTTCAAACTCATTCACTTCTCACAAATCCTACACAGGGTCGCTATGAGTCAGAACCGGTTTTATGGCACTTAATAACAACAACATATATATATTATATATATAAAATGCATGAAGGCAATAACCAGAAAAGATAGATGTCAGGTAGCTATAAATTTGTAAAATATAAATTTATCATGGATGCATGTGGCAGTCTTTAGGAGAGTCAATAAATATTTTATCTTGTTTTAGGTAAAAATAGAAAATTAATAGAGGGGGAAGAATAACTTAAAATACTTCATTACTCCAAGAAAAAGCAAGAAATGAGAAAAAAACTATTACAGAATAGGAAGGACAAATAGAAAAAAAATAATAACAGTAGAGATGGTGTTGTTAGTTACCACTGAATTGGTTCCTACTTAGAGCAACAGAATAACAGTGAAATGTTGCCTCGTTCTGTGCCATGTTCAAGATCAGTAAATAATATCATTACATTAAATGTCAACTGACTATTCTTAAACGATAAAAAATTATACGCTGGATTTTAGAAAACCACGACTATATTCTACTTAACAATCAATTAAACAAAAAGGATATATAAATGTATATATATTCACTTAGCTTCAACTTTATATATATATATATATATTTGTATACATTTATATATCATTTTTTAAATATTTATATATAAAGTTAAAACTAAATGTATTGCTGCTGCTGTGTGCTTTTGAGTCAGCTCTGACCCATAGTGACCCTGTGTAGGCTTTCCAACACTGCAAATCTCTAAAGCAGCAAAAAAAACTTCACCCTTCTCCTGCAAAGCAGCTACACCACCAAGGCTACAGTTCATCACTGTAGTGAAATACCTGAGAGTAGGCCTGTGTATTAGTCTCCTTTGCAATCCTAGGAGTCCTGAGAATTCTACTGGAACATCAAAACAAAAGAAACTCCTTACTGCTAAGTCAATTGTGACTAACTGCAACACCTTATTTTATAGAGCAGAACTGATCCACAGGACCCCCTTGGCTATAATCCCTACAGAAAAAAACCACTAGGCCTTTCTTCCATGGCCCCACTGGGTGAGTCTGAACTGCCAACACAGTAGAAACTTCATCAAGGTTTGTTCAATGATGGAATGGCTCCCACTGCTACTTTAATTTTCTTTCTTTCCCCTGGTCCCACCTTATGTTTTCATGGTGTAAACTATTCCTAGACTAGGACAGTCTTACCAGCTCAAATGGGAAAGGGAGGGGAAAAGAGGAAAAGAAAAGATGACTAAATCATCTTCAGAAGATGCCAAAAAAATTTTTTTAATTAAAATTCAACACCATTCATAATTTATTATAAGGTTGCTGGGTATGAAGGCAACAAACAAAATTCAATTACGTTTCTAACTACTTGTTAAATGCCATTAAGTCAGTTCCAACTCACGGTGACTTATATAGGATTTCTAAGGAGTAGCGGGTGGGTTTGAACCATCAATCTTGTGATTAACAGTCCAGTGCTTATCCTACAGTACCACATCAGGACTCCATTCTAACTACTAGTAGCAAACAATTATAAAATGAAATTTAAGGAACAATTCTAATTAAAATAACATCAACAATGTCACAAATCAAGGAATAAATTCCCTGAAAGATGTGCAAGTCCCCTAAACTGAATGAACACTAAAAACCATTGAGAGAAACTTCCAAAATGGAACAAAATTTATTGTTGCCAAGTCTAGTTCAACTCATGGCGTTCTTACAGAACCGAGCAGAACTATTCCTAGGGTTTCCAGTTCCAAATCTTTATGGAAGCAGATTGCCACATCTTTCTCTCATAGAATGGCTGGTGGGTTCAAACTCCTAACCTTCCAGTTAGCAGCAGAGTGCTTAACCACTGTATCACCAGGGATCCATCTAAGAGATAGAAACTTTGTTGTTAGGTGCTATCAAGTTGAAACAGACTCATAGTGACCCTATGCACAACAGAACAAAACACTGCCTGGTCCCGCACCAACATTACAATTATTGCTATTCCTGAGTCCATTATAAAGCCTTATATAAATGGAAGGATATACCATGTCTATGGATTAGCAAACTAAATATTATAAAGACATCAATTAGTCACTTAAACTGATCTTTAGTCTCAATACAATTCCTATCAAAATATCAGTAGGATGTGTGTTTATGAATGAGTGAAAGTTAATAAATGAATTCTAAAATTATATGAAAATATTAAAAGAGCCAAGAACAAAGAGAAGGAAAATGAAAAATAAATAGAAAAGGAGGGAGGAAGTTAGAGGATATTCACTATCACTTGGCTCTGTAGGATAAGTACTCGATTCAAGGTTGGTTTGAACTGCAAGGTCAGTGGTTCAAACTCACCAATCATTCCTTAGAAACCCTATACAAGGTTGCTATCAGTCAAAACCAACTCAAAAACACTTAACAATAATAACAGTCTCTTAGTAGAATTAAGACAGTATGGTTTTAGTACAAAGAGAGATAACCAATGGAACAAAAGACAGTCATATAAAAACAAGAGAAACATTTTGGGGAGAAATGTCATATATAAGTTTATCATAAAACTTTAACACATTTCTGTTGAATATATTAATAACAAAAGCAAGTAAATAATATTTCAGTTAAACTCTCTCGTGGACTGTATAAAATACATGTTTAGGATTATTATAATTCTATTAATATAAATAATTAGCAAATCTTCTACATAATCTTTCTCTCTTACCTCCCCAAATGCTCCTCGGCCAATCACCTTTAATATTTCAAAATCTTCTCTATGTAATCGCATCTGTTTCACTTTAGAAGTAAATGGTTTGGCTGAAACAAAAGAAAGCATCACTTACTTATTAATGAAACAATGAAAATGAGATATAATGATATTTCTTCCTTACACAATAAAAATTCAAATATTTCATCAAGCTATATTCAGAAGAAACATTCAATTTCCACAACAAAACTATAATTTCTTTGAAATGGTGGTGAGAAATACATTTTTAAATAACAAACAATGTGAAACATTGCAAAGTAGCAGGGACACAAAATGAGATCAAATAATTTTCATGTTAAACATTTTCTGTATTCTATCAACAATAGGTATATACTTTGACATGAAACTCCTAGAAGTAAAAGCAAATTTCACGGAGCCAAACAGAACTACAGCAATTCTGACCCAGTAAATTAATAATTAATTAGATTTACATTAATTTAAATTAATACATAATCATTAAGTATTCTTTAACAAGCCTTTTGCAAGAGCCTACACTATAGAAGGAAGGCCAGTGGCTACATAAATAAGTATTGGACTGTGAACCACATGGTCGGTGGTTCAAGCCCACCGTCTGTTCTTTGGGAGAAAGGTAAGATTTTCTGTTTCTGTAAAGATTTAAAAATTCTTGGAAACTCTATACAGGCTCGCTATGAACTGGAACCAAGTTAACAGCACTTAACAACAACAACATTATGTAAGTACGATGGCAATCACTGGAATTTATGGGAAGCCCTAGTAGCACCAGAGGATAAGCACTGGATTGCTAACCACAAGGTCAGCAGTTCTAACTCACCAGCTAGTCTTCTGGAGAAAAACGAGGCTGTCTGCTCCTATAAAGATTTAGTCTTGGAAAACCTATCTAAGGTCACTATGAGTCAGAATCAACTTGATGGCAGTGGGTTTGGTTTTGGTTTCATATAGTACTTTCACCTTCAAGAAACTCAGCCTCTAGGAAAGACACAAATGCATGCATGCCTTTGTGATGGTTGTTGGCCATCAAGTCAGTTTCGACTTTATAAAGTTCCAAAGCTGTAAATCTTTACAGGAGCAGAAAGCTTGAACTTTCTCCCATGGAGACTCGTAGATTCGAAGTACTGACCTTGAGGTTAGCAGCCCAGCGGATAATCCACTATGCTACCAGGGCTCCTTCAGACATAACTATATTATTTTTGTTAAGTGCCATTGAGTCAGTTCCAGCCCATAGCAACCCTATATAGAGTTTTTGAGGAGCGGTTGGTGAGTAGAACCACTGACCTTGTGGTTCAAGCTGACCTTGTGATCGAGTGCACGATACCAGGACTTCCACAAAACTATGTTGTTGTTGTTGTTGTTGTTAAGTGCCGTCAAGTTGACTCCGAGACATAGTGGCCCTGTATAGGGTTTCCCAGGCGCGGCTGGTGAGTTTGAAATGCCGACCTTGTGGTTCAAACCGACCTTGAGGTCCAGTGCTTGGATGTGTTAATGACCACTTGATATCAACTAACCTCAGGAGGTGTGATTTGGCCTATCATGCACATGCATTGAGAGTTGAAACTCCTGACTGGATAATAAAACCTCTGAACATGAAAACACAGAGATTTCATAACGCTGACAAAAGGAGGGTGATGTGCCAAAGCTCTCAGAAGGAATCCCTGACGGAACTCATCCATGCATCTCTTCCATATGGTAATCCTGATTTGTACCCTTTTACTATAACAAATCTATCATTCTAAGTGTAGTACTTTCTGTGGGTTCTGGAGATGTAGTAATGAATTATCATACACACAGAAATGGGGAAAGTTCACCAGTTAAAAAGTGAGGGCCCAAAGGAAGACCCCAAAATTGTGATAGCCATTTGTCTATCTGGCAGGCTAAAAGAGTTAACTCAAAGTGGCTAAGATCCACAAGAGAAAGCATCATACATGAACTTGGTGTCAGAGTTGATGAAGAAGAGGGAAAGTGAGGATTTGATTACTCTTCACATTCTGGGGATCAGATTTATGCTTATTCTTATCCACAAAAATATATACTCAAAAAGCACTAAGCAAATGTGTACTGTACAGTCAGGCATAACTAGGATTAAAGGTTTTGTTTAATTTGTTATCCAAGTTTGGTGGACAGTATAAAGTAAAGGAATAACTATGTCTCTATTCCTTTGCATCTATGAGAGTTAAAAAAAAAAAAAAAACTTTTCATTTCATTTCTTTTATATTGCAAAACTACTTTACTTTCAGTTATTCAAAAATGAGTTGTTTATTTAACTTCAGAAAGCTCAAAGTTTACTAACCATTTACATAATTCACTTGAAAAAATATCTGTAAGTATCCTTTGCACATCAAGCATTCTGCAAGCTACTGAAGTTATAAAAGATGTATAAAGCAGTACCTGTTCTCAAGTAAACATATTATGTAGTAAGTGTCATTCTTACACTTTAAAAGCTCAGTGTTGCTAAATATAAATACAAATAAAAAGATGCTCACATTAGCAGAAATCCAGAAAATGCAAATTAACATAACAGGAATTTTATATTATTTACAAATTAAATATGCCCCAAAAATTTTAAATCTGAAACTACCAAGTGTTGGCAAGAGTATCATTAACAGTATAACACAGCAGTGGGAAAGAGCCCTGGTGATGCAGTGATTTGCTGAAAAGATAGCAATCTGAACCCATCAGCTTTTCCAAGGGAGAAAGATGTGGCAGTCTGCTTCTGTAAAAATTATAGCCTCAAAATCATAGATGAGTGAGGGTATCCAGTGCTACATCAGTTTGTTGAAAGATTTCAATTGGTGTTCTGTCATTTCCTGCAGTCTTGGTTTTGCCACTGCCTTCAATGCAGCTAAGATTTGTTTTCCTTCATTACCATTGGTTCTTGATCATATGCCACTTCTTGAAATGTTGAGACACAAACCATTTCTTTTTAGTAAAGTGACTCTGCATGTTGTGTCTATCTTCTTCTGATGTTTTCTGCATCATTCATTATTTTGCCCTTTGTTAAGTGTCATCGAGTCAGTGCCAACTCACAGCAACTCTGTGTATGGTTTCTGAAGAAAGGCTGGTAGGTTTGTGATTTTAAAGTCCAGTACTTATCCTATCATGCCACATCAGGAATCCCCATAGAATCCTTCATTATTGAAAGTGGAGGCTAGAATATTTTCTTCATTTCTTTCAGCTTGGGAAATGTTGTGTGTTTTCCTCCCTTTTGGTTTTCTAACTCCAGGCCTTTGCATAGTTCATTATAATACTTGACTTTGTCTTCTCAAACTACCCTTTGAAATTTTCTATTTAACTCTTTTACTTGCTCATTTCTTCCGTTTGCATTAGCATCTCTACTCTCAAGAACAAGTTTCAAGTCTCTTCTAACATTCATTTTGTTTTTTCCTTCTTTCTTGTCTTAATGACATTTTGCTTTCTTCCTATATGATGTTCCTGATGTCATCCCACAACTCTTCTTGTTTCTAGTAATTACTGTCTAATGTAACAAATCTATTCTTGAGATGATTTCTAAATTTAGGTGGGACATATTCAGTCATATTTTGACTCTCGTGGACTTGTTTTAATTTTCTTCAGCTTCAATCTGAACTTGTCTATGAACAACTGATGGCCTGTTTCACAGTCTAACCTTGGCTTTGTCTTGGCTGATGATATTGTGCTTTTCCACAATCTCTTCCAACAGATAAAGTCAACATGTTGTTGTTGTAAAGTGCCGTAGAGTCGATTCCGACCCATAGCGACCCTGTACAGGGTTTCCGAGGCTGTAAATCTTTATGGGAGCAGAATGCCTCATCTTTCTCCCGCAGAGTGGCTGGTAGTTTCAAACTGCTAGCCTTAAGGTTCACAGCCCGATTCGTAACCACTACGCTACCAGAGCTCCGTAAAGTCAACATGATTCCTGTATATTTCATCAGGTGTGGTCCAGGTGTACACATTTATGTTGTTTTTAAAAAGTATCTGCAGCAAAGAATTCATTGGTCTTGAAATATTCAATCATGCAATCTCCAGCATCATTTGTATCACCAAGGCTATATTTTCCAACTACTTTATCCTTACTCTTTGACTCTTTGTTTCACATTTTCTCATTTCAATCACCAGCAATTATCAATACATCTTGACTGCATGTTTCATCAATTTCAGACCGAAGAAGATGGCAGAATTCTTCAATTTCATCATTACTGGCTTTAGTGGTTTTTGTATAAATTTTAATAATAGCGGTATTAACTGGTCTTCCTTGAAGGCCAGATCCCAGTATAGTAAACCATATGATTGTCTAATTCAAAATTGCCAGTACCAGTCCATTTCAGCTCACTAATGCCTAAGATCTTTATGAATTCCATTTCATTTTTTACAACTTACAATTTTCCTAGATTCATATTTCATAATCCTGTGTTCTGATTATTATGTTTGCAGCTGTGTCTCTTCATTTTGAGTTTGACCCATCAGCAAATAAAGATCCCAAAAGGGTTGCTCAATTCACATCATTATGGTCAACTCTACTTTGAGGAGGTAGCTCTTCCTCAGTTGTATTTTGAGTGCCTTCCAATCTGAGGGGCTCATCTTCCTGCTCTATATCTAACAATGTTCTGCTGCTATTCATGTCTTCATATTCTGGTACTATATCTGACAATGTTCCACTGCTATTTATAATATTTTCAGTAGCTAAACATTCAGAAGTTGTCTGTCTCTCCTTATTCCTAATCTGTCTCAGTTTTGAAGCTCGGCTGAAAACTCTCCACCACGGGTAACCCTGATGCTGTTTACAATAACAATGACATAGCTTTCATCATCAAAGCACCATGCTACCCACCACAGTACAACAAAGTGTCAGACGATTGCTGGTATTTTTGTATAGGAATTTTATATGTGTGTTCATAAATAATGCTTCTCCACAATTATTTTGAAGCCCTGGCATGACAATGCAGGATAAAACGCTGGACTGCAAGGTGGGTTTGAATGGTAAGGACAGTGGTTTAAACTCACCAGTCACTCCTCAGAAACTCTATACATGGTTGCTATGAATCAAAACTTACTCAATAGCACTTAACAACAATTATCTTTTTCTGTACTGTCTTCA